AATAGCTATTAGTTCTTCTTTGAATGTTTGGTAAAAATCCCCTGTGAAACCATCCCGACCAGGGCTTTTGTTTACTGGGAGTTTATTGATTACTGCTTCTATTTCCTTAGTTGTTATTGGTATGTTCAGGTTTTCTTACTCTTCCCTGTTGAGGTTTGGAAAACTGTATGAGTCTAGGAATTTATCCATTTTGCCTAGGTTGCCCAATTTGCTGGCATATAATTGTTCATAGTATTTTCTTACAATTCTTTGTATTTTTGTGGTGTCCATTGTTACTTCACCTCTTTTGTTTCTGATTTTATTAATTTGAGTCACCTCTCTTTATTTCTTGCTGAGTTTGGCTAAAGGTTGATCAATCTTGCTTATTTTTTCAAAGAACCAGCTCTTGGTTTCATTGATCTTTTGTTTTTGTTTTTGTTTTGTTTTTTTGGTCTCTATGTCATTTGTTTCTTCTCTGATTTTTTATTTATTCATTTATTTATTTTATCCTCATCCGAGGACATTTTTCCATTTTTTTGTTCCGATAGAGTGGGAGGGAGGGAGAGGAAGAGAGAGAAACATTGACGTGAAAAGAACACATCAAGTGGCGGCCACCCGCGCGACCCAGCCAGGGCCGGGAACAAACTGCAACTGAGGTACATGCCCTTAGTGGGAAATGAACCCAGGTCTCTCGGGACCGCAGGCCGATGCTCCAACCACTGAGCCAGACCTGCCAGGGCTGCTGTGATTTTTTAAAAAATATGTTTTTATTGATTTTTTTAGAAAGGAAGGGGGAGAGAGATAGAAACATTGATGTGAGTGAGATACATGGAGTCTGCACTGATCTTTATTATTTATTTATTATACCCTTCCTTCTACTAACTCTGAGTTGTTTTTTGTTTTTGTTTTTTTTTTATCCTCACCCGAGGACATTTTTCCATTTTTTTGATCAGATAGAGTGGGAGGGAGACAGAGGAAGAGAGAGAGAGAGAGAGAAGGAAACATCGACATGAAAGGGACATATTGAGTGGCTGCCACCTGCACGACCAACCACGGCCGGGGACAAACTGCAACCGAGGTACATGCTCTTAGTGGGAACCAAACCCAGGTCTCTCTGGACAGCAGGCCGACTCTCTAACTGCTGAGCCAAACCGGCCAGGGCAGTATGGGGTTTTTTGATGTATGTGCCTGGCATCTTTCACTCAACGTAATGCTTTTTTTGTATTTTAAAAAATATGTTTTTATTAATTTTTTTAGAGAGGGGGCAAAGAGAGGGAGACATAGAAACATCGATTGGCTGCTTCCTGCACATGCACCCTCCTCCCCTCACTGGGGATCACACCTGCAACCCAGGCATGTGCCCTGACCAGGAATTGAACTGGGACCTCTCAGTTCATGGGACGATGCTCAATCCACTGAGCCACACCAGCCAGGGCCACCCTTCATTTTTGACCAGCATGTGAGGTAGGCCTGGATTTATAGAGATCTTTGGAGGCACATGAAAGGTATATATACAGGGATATTAGGGGCAAGCAGTAAGGAAATGTTAGAGGTGAGAAAGGTAGTCACTGAAATAAGAGGAAACCAGTTCTGCCTGCTTGTGCTGGAAATACCCAGTCATCAAATCTGCCTAGCTTTATGCCATCTGGCTTCCTCAGTCTAGCTAGTGTCCCTTTATGGATGTTGATAAAGTTGCCTTTTGAGTTGGTATCAGTAAAACAGAGGTTATTAAAATTTATTCTAATCCATATTTATTCTAATCCATTTTGTTGTTTTAAGCCACAGATACAAATGTACACCAAAACATAGCTGAAGCATGAAGGAATGAGGTGCTAAAGAAGAGGAAGTGTGCCCTGGGCATGAATTTAGAGGGGACATGGATATCATATTGCTATGGTAGCTGTGTCTCATTCCTCTGCCTTTTTTGCTGGTAATTAATGACCCACAAAATTTAAGCAAAATCTTACTTATTTAGTACAACAGATTTGACCTTCAGGCTCTCGGGATATTCATGACTTGTAAGTAACCAAAAATAACCTATAAGTGCAGAAAGGGACCAAAATTGCTAAAGGGAGTCCAGGACACGAAAATTATTAAAGAGTCTATATGACTAACCTGTCTTCTTATTAGAAAGGAAGCCTGTAAGGGCAGGAAAATTATCAGCGAAGAGGAAAAAGGAGTGACTGAGGCCACAGACATTATTCACCATCAGACAGAAAGATGATTAAGATAAAACCTAATGGCCCTCCTTGGCCAGTTTGTCTCAGCGGTTAGAGCGTCGGCCTGTAGTCCAGAGAGACCAGGGTTTGGTTCCCGCTAAGGGCACATACCTCGGTTGCGGTTTGTCCCCAGCCCTGGTTGGGTCATGTGGGTGGCAGCCTTTCACGTCAGTGTTTCTCTCTCTCTCTCTCCTTCCCACTCTACCTGAACAAAAAATGGAAAAATGTCCTCAGGTAAGGATAAAAAAAAAACCTAGTGGCCTGGCCGGTGTGGCTCACTGGTTAGGTGTCGAGCCATGCACCAAGAGGTTGCTGGTTCAATTCTCAGTCAGGGCACATACCCAGGTTATGAGCCCAATCCCCAATGTGGGGCATGCAGGAGGCAGCCATTCGATATTCTCTCTCATCAATGTTTCTCTCTCCTTCTCTGTTCCTCTCTCTTTAAAAATCAATATAGAACCAGGCCAGTGTGGCTCAGTGGTTGAGCGTCAATCCATGCACCAAAAGGTCGCCGGTTCGATTCCTGGTTAGGGCACATGCCTAGGTTGTGGACCCAATCCCTAGTGGGGGGCATGCAGGAGACAGCCAATTGATGTTCTCATCAATGTTTCCATCTCTCTTTTCCTTTCCTTTTCTCTCTCTCTAAAATCAACAAAAAATAAATAAAAATAATGGTGACACATTCTCATCCCACAGTTTGATTAAGTGAGTTTGGGACCAGTGACCCTAATACACAGCCAGAGTGGGTATCACTGGTTTAGCTGGGGGAAGAGCGCCATATAGGGAAACCTAATACCCTGAGCACACCTAAATCTCACCTTTGTTTCCAAGCAGACTTCTGTTTGGCATTGTTCTTTATTTCATTTTATAACCCGTGTAATCAGAAGGAAAAATAAGTAAACATATCCATGGTAGAAAATTTAGCAATGTTCAAAAAACAAAAATTGTCCAAAAACCCATCGACCTGAGCAATCATGAAATTCAGGTGTATTCTGGTCCTTCTGCTGTTGTGTAGGCAATATGTTTATGGATGTGTTATAGATGTCTTTGTATATTCTCATGTCTATATATGTCATATATATATATATATATATATATATCTTTTACGCTTTTTTTAAAAAACAAAATTGATGTTACACCTCAATTGTTTTGTTTCGTTTTCCCACTTTTTAATGAATATATGGTGATGTCTTTCAGGTCATTGGTAGCCTTCTACCTCATGGTTTTCAGTGGCATTGTAGTGTTATTTGTCTAACCCATCACTGTTATTGAACATCTAGATTGTTTCCCAGGTTTGCACTACCATAGTCAGTGCTGGCGTGAATATCTTTATACAAAAAATATCATTTTATTTATTGTTCATGCATTCATCAGTTGATTCTTAAATGTGCCCTCCCTGGGGATTGAACCCACAACCTTGGCGTTTGATGCTCTAACCAACTGAGCTAGCTGGCCAGGGCTCAAAAAGTATCATTTTAAACATTAGTGTTTATTTTGCTGTTGCCTATTTGGTAGTTGAAAAAAATTTTTTTGGATTTTTTGTTTCTAATGAATATTTTCCTATGCTTGGTACCATAAAATTTTAAATGTCTTTTAATTATTATTATTTTTAATTGATTTTAGAGAGAGAAGAAGGTGGGGGAGAGAGAGTGAAAAATCAACTTGTTCCACTTATTCATTCATTCATTGATCGATTCTTACATGTGCCGAACTGGGGAATCAAACCTATAACCTTGGCATATTGGAATGACGTTCTAGCCAATTGAGCTACCCAGCTAGGGCTACTACTATAAACTGTTAAAATATAATCTAGCCCTGGCCGGTTTGGCTCAGCGGTTAGAGCGTTGGCCTGCAGACCAATGAGTCACGGGTTCGATTCCAGTCAAGGGCACATACCTCGGTTGTGGTTCGTCCCAGGCCCTGGTCAGAGGCAACCGGTTGATGTGTCCTTCTCACATCAGTGTTTCTCTCTCTCTCCCCTGTCTCCCTCTCACTCTATCTGAAGATAAATAGAAAAATATCCTTAGGTGAGGATTTTATATTTATACACACACACACACACACACACACACACACACACACACATAAAAATAAATAATCTGGCCCAGCCAGTGTAGCTCAGTGGTTGAGCATTGACCCATGCACCATGAGGTCGCTGGTTTGATTCCCAGTCAGGGCATATACCCAGGTTGTGGGCCCAGTCCTCGGGTGGGGACATGCAGGAGGTGGCCAGTTGATGTTCTGTCATCGATGTTTCCATCTCTCTCTCCCTCTCCCTTCTTCTCTCTCTCTAACATCAATAAAGGAAAATAAATAAATAAAATACAATCTGTATAACACTTAGGTAGCTCTCTTTCATCTTTTGCTGGTTTTTGTTTCCCACTCTTCTTTTTTTTCTGTAATATAATATAGATTCATGAACTTTTAGCATTAGGGCCCTGAAGGTAGAATGTGTTGATCAGAGTCATACATAAAATTAAGTAACAGAACAGGGATTTGAACCTAGCTTTACTCTTTTTAAATGTTCCCCTCTTCCAGGAAATGGATATTGCTAATATCCTTTAGTCTCCTTGGGAGAAGCTTCTGTAGCTTTTCATTTCGGAGCAGTGTTTCATTTGTGCTTTTGAGCAGAGAACTTGTTGCTCCCAAATAAGCCAGAAAGCCTCAACTGAATGTGCCCTCCACTAATAGCCAGTGTACTGCTTGCTATTCCAGGAGACATGTTTGACCAGGACTGTGGGATGGTCGTATTCATATTGGAGGCTCTTGTGAGGAGATGAGTTGGTGAACAGAGAAGCCGGCATGAAGATGCTCCCAGGAGTGGGCGTGTTTGGGACTGGCAGCTCTGCCCGGGTTCTGGTCCCACTGCTGAGGGCAGAAGGGTTCACCGTGGAGGCCCTGTGGGGGAAGACTGAGGAGGAGGCAAAACAGCTTGCTGAGGAAATGAACATCACCTTCTACACCAGCCGGACGGATGATGTCCTGCTGCATCAAGACGTGGATCTGGTGTGCATCAATATCCCCCCTCCACTCACCCGGCAAATATCTGTGAAGGCTCTAGGTATGGACAGTCAGGCGAGGGCAGGCTGTGCCTCCTTCTGGGTGGTCTTTCTTGGGCTTGAGTCTGCAGGGGCTAGTACTCTGGGACAACACTCACCCTTGGGGCAGTGCTGGGGAAAGGCACATTGGGAAGTCATAGCTGTGGAAGGAAATGCTCCAATGACTGGGGAAGATAGCCTTCCCCACCTCCCACAAGTAAATCTCTGAGAAAAAATTAAGCAAATGCCTTAAGAGTTGGCCTATCACAGGGACTAGGGATTATTGCATTTCAAGCACTGTAAAAATTTTACCTTTGTGAATTCAAAGTTCAAAGCTGGGTATTAGGAAATTGCTTATAACTGACAAGGTCTTCCATTTCTGTACATTGTATCACTACATAAAGGAAAGGAGGGTGTGTAGCAAGGCTGCCATTTCCCATGTTTTGTCAGGTCTTGACTAGTTTGAGCACACACCTTTCCTACCAAACTTTGCCATCTTGTATGCCAGAGGGCAGGAAGGCTCTCTGACAGCACTGGGCTTTCCTGACAGGATTCATGAGACAGCCTGCTCACATCCCTGTTCCCTTGGGAAGCAATTCACTCAGCAACCTCCTGCCCCTGGTTGGGCGTAGCTTGCTAAGCTGTTTTCCTGCAGTTCCTGTTAGGCTTCTCTTTCCTGTCAACTGTAGAAAAATTCTTCTCTATTATTTTATATAAACCAGAATCTAACTTAATAGGGAAAAAAATCAGTAGCAGTTTTTTCTTTTTTTTTTTAATCCTCACCCAAGGATATTTTTCCATTTATTTTCAGAGTGGGAGAGATAAAGGGAGAGAGAGAAATATCAATGTGAGAAAGGACACATCAACTAGTTGCTTCTTACATGACCCTGACCAGGGCCGGACCTAACTGCAACTGAGGTATGTGCCCTTGACCAGAATCAAACTCGGGACTCTTTGGTCCTTGGGCCAACACTTCAACTGCTGAGCCAAACCGGCCAGGGTGGGCAGCGGGTTTTTTTAATGACTCCTGTGTGCCAGGCACTGTCCTGATGTCATTCTGGGCATTTAAAGCAGTGTTGGATCAGAGAGCTCTCCTTACCTTCAGATTTCACTGTCCAATTGAAGAGCCTAGAAATAACACACATTACAAGATAAATGAGAAAAGGCTTAAGTAACAATTCAGGTAACATATAATTAATTGACAGAATAATTATTTATTTTTTATTCCTCACCTGAGGATATTTTTCTATTTATCATCAGATAGAGTGGAGGGGGGAGAAACATCGATGTGATAGAGCCACATTGACTGGTTGCCTCTTGCACAACCCAACCAGGGCCAGGGACAATCCGCAACTGAGGTACATGCCCTTGACCAGAATCAAACCCGCTACTCATTGGTCTGCGGGCCAACCCTTTAACCACTGAGCCAAACTGGCCAGGGCAGAATAATTATTTTAGGTTGATAGGAACCAAGTGTCTCTCGAATGCGGTCGGAGTTCCCTGAGTCTAGGCTGACCACCACACCTCCTGGCCACTACCATGGTGGAGGGTTCAAGTCTCTGTTCTTTTTTTTTTCATCCTCACCCGAGGACATTTTTCCATTTTTTGTACAGATAGGGTGGGAGGGAGAGAGAGGAAAAGAGAGAGAGGGAAACATCGATGTGAAAGGGACACATCGAGTGGCTGCCACCCGCACGACCAACCAGGGCCGGGGACAAACTGCAACCGAGGTACATGCCCTTAGCGGGAACCGAACCCAGGTCTCTCCGGACCGCAGGCAGACACTCCAATCGCTGAGCCAAACCGGCCAGGGCCAAGTCTCTGTTCTTTGTTTCTTCTTTGTTCTGAGGATAGAGGATGTCTGTCACTTTTAGCTTAATGCGTGGGGAAGGATAAATGTTCATTGAAATGAGCAAGATTGTAAGTCTGTCCAGTTGTTGATTCAAGACATATAAGTTTAGGCCAAAAAAAAAATTTTTTTTTTATATTTTGTTCAGATAGAGTGGGCGGGAGAGAGGGAGAAACATCGACGTGAAAGGGACACATCAAGTGGTCGCCACTCACACGACCCAACTGGGGCCGGGGACAAACTGCAACCGAGGTAGGTGCCCTTAGCGGGAACCGAACCCAGGTCTCTCCAGACCACAGGCCAGCGCTCTAACCGCTGAGCCAAACCGGCTAGGGCTTTGGCCAAAATTTATAGGGGCTAGCTTTCTAGCTTTCTTTTCCAGATAGCTCTCTTTCTCTCTCTCTCTGAGGATGTGTGACATTGGAACTGTTCTTTGGATCTAGATTCTTAGGAGGGTAGATAATGAATGGCTCCCAGGTTGAGTTCAGAAGTACACCTAAGCCAACACTTTAACAGAAGGCTGGTTTAAAGAGAATCAAGCTATTGTGGCCACTTGCTTTTTTGCCATCCCTGTGGCATGAATGCATGTTGGTGAGGCCAGGTATGTCCATAGGCAGAGTTCTAGAGACTTGCAGTCTTCTTGAATTTTAGGGTCCTTACAGAAACCATTTCCAAGCTGTATTCTTTGGCCATAAGCCCGCTGTACCTGGTATGGGAAAATGTTAGACTTTGGGCCATTTAATATAAACAGGGATGATCAGAAACTTCTGGGATCTTGTGTCCCAGCCCATGATGAATCAGGATCATCAGCCTTCTCTCTATATCTCTATTGTCAGGAGGAGGAGGTATGAATGAGCATCCTTGGTGGTAGGTACATGATCCCAGGAGTTGGCGGGCCTGATCCCATGTCAGCTAGATCTGCCCTCGGGCACTCCCCACTCAGGCCCCAAAGGAATCACCGAGACTGTTGTGACCGTGAAGTTCTCTCCCTGAGTGCTTTCACCTTTTTTTTTCAATCCTCACCTGAGGATATTTTTCCATATATATTCAGATAGAGTTTAAGAAGGAGAGAGAGAAAAACATCAGTGTGAGAGAAATACATCGACTGGCTACCTCCCGCATGACCCCGACCAGGGCCAGGGACGAACTGCAACTGAGGTACATGCCCTTGACCAGAATCAAACCCGCGACTCATTGCTCCGCAGGCTGATGCTCTAACCACTGAGTGAAAAACTGGCCAGGGTTGCTTTTACTTTTTTTTAGTGGTAATTCTGACTTGACTTTAGCACATATGGAAGAGGCCAGAAGAACTCTAATTTTCCCAAAGTACTGAGTGTGAATATATGAACAGCTATATGCAGAACACCAAACTGACCTTGACATCAGACCCCACTTTTGGTCCTATTTCTATTCCTTTCAACCTCTGTGGGCCTCTGTGAAATGGGGGTGAAATAGGGGTATCATTTAGCCTTTCCAGCATGATATATGACTGCCTCCAAGTGCTGACCAAGAAAGACACTGACATCACATTACAAGGAAAAGCCAGGCTTTCCTGTATTTAAAAGTCCCTGAAGTCGCCCTGGCTGGTTTGGCTCAGCAGTTAGAGCATCGGCCCATGGACCAGTGAGTTGCAGGTTGGATTCCAGTCAAGGGCAGTTACTTTGATTGCAGTTCATCCCCGGCCCTGGTCGAGGTCGTGTGGGAGGCAGCCAGTCAATGTGTCCTTCTCACTTTGATGTTTCTTTCTCCCTCCCTCCCTCTCACTTTATCTGAAGATAAATAGAAAACTATCCTCGGGTGAGAATTAAAAAAATATATTTTTTAAAAAGTCTTGCCCTAGCCAGTTTGGCTCAGCGGTTAGAGCACTGGCCTGCGGTCCAGAGAGACCTGGGTTCGGTTCCCACTAAGGGCACGTACCTTGATTGCAGTTTGTCCCCAGCCCTGGTTGGGTTGTGCGGGAGGCAGCCATTTGATGTGTCCCTTTCACATCAATGTTTTTCTCCCTCTCTCTCTTCCTCTCTTTCCCTCCCACTCTATCTGAATAAAAAATGGAAAAATGTCCTTGGGTGAGGATTTAAAAAAAAGTCTTGTCCAGCTGGTGTGACTCAGTGCTTGAGTGTCAATCCATGCACCAATAGGTCGCCGGTTCGATTCCTAGTCAGGACACATGCCTAGGTTATGGGCCAAATCCCCAGTGGGGGGCATGCAGGAGGCAGCCAATTGATGTTCTCTTTCATCGATGTTTCTGTCTCTCTCTTCTTCTCCCTTCCTCTCTCTCTCAAATCAGTAAAGGGAAAAAAAATTTTTTTTAAAAAGTCCCTGAAGTCAATATCCCAAAAGACCCTCACTGCCATTCCACTTGTGTGTTCCTATGTATGAATTTATATATACATGAGAGTATATTTTCTGTGTTTCTCCCACATATGTCTCTCTCTTTTTTTTCTCTCCTATTATTGGGGCTAAGCTTTAGATCCTCAGTCTTTTTAGAGCTGAAAAAAAAATAATGCATAATTATTAAGCTCTATAGCTGTTGAAGTACTCTAATTTTAGGTGAGCTCTTCCAGATCTTGAACCAGTGAAAAGTTTATCACAGTCATCTAAAACCTCTATTTAGTTAGGGATCATCTGGCATTGTGTTATGCTAAGCAATGTAAAAGGCAAGTTGTGGCAACTTCGAAGTAATAATGTGAGGCATACACTGCTGATACAGATTTACACCTATAAGGACATATATGACCTAGACCATTATTTTCCTAAAACTTTTAATAACAATTGTAGTACTGTATTTTCTTCTGGAATTCATAGGCCTGCAGGGGCTATGGAGAGAGTATCTTGTCCAGTGGTTCCTGAACCAACAGCGTCAGCATGACCTTGGAACGTATTATAAATCCAGATTCTTAAGCCCCATCCCAGACCTTCTAAATCTGGAGTGAAGCCTAACAATCTGTGTTTGAACAGTCCTTCCAGGTGATTCTAATATACACTAAGTATGGAGAATCACTGATCTAATCCACTGTCTTCATTTTCAGTTAAAGAAGCCGAGGTCCAGGATTGTTACATTTACTTCTCACCGAGTATTAATGTTGTGGGCAAAATTGCATTTTCCTCAGCTTGTTAGATCATTACATTTTTACCTGACTTCTGAGACCATAAAGATTGTTTCTTGACCTCATT